CCCATGTTCCAGCTTTTGCAACTTCAGCGCACATGTTTGCGTACGAGCGCCGAGTGGTGAGGTCCAGGGGACTGTGTTGGTCAAGCACAGTGGGATCCTCTGGCGCATAGAACTCACGCACAATGTGCGCGTGCGTCTTGAGCCATGCTGCAGCAACCTGACGTGCATTCCAAAAGCGTGACTGGTTGCTGTAGTGCAGGTGCGCCCATGCACGGAACTGGCAGTTGCCGTCACCTTTAATGAAGTCTGATATGCGCAAACAATTTCCCAGCAATGCTGATTGAGCGGTTGGGCTTGCATGCAGTGGGTTAGGCTCAGCTTCAGCTGTGATGCGTGTGGCAGATGGTGCATTAGCGGTGCGCAGCGCAGAAGTCTTGCGGCGCGTCACAGGCACTTCCACCCAGCACTCAGAGCGTGTGCGCTTGGCAGGGACAGCTGATGCTGGTGCGCCAGCTAAGAACTTGTTGTCGAGGCAGATCTGCAGCTTGTTCACCCAAGATGCGAGGAATGCCTGCTCTTTGTTGAGATACAGTTGCGGACCTTGACATGTACCACCGCGTCCCTTCTTGTTGCACTTGATGCGCTGCTGTTTGGCATCCCAGTTGCGGATGTAGCGGCTGTCATCCAGCTGGCAGTAGCGGCACATCATGTGCGGCTGCAAGATGCTGAAGAGTTCACGCAGCAGTGGTATCTCTGTTATGTGGCCAAGGGTGATGTCCTGCCACTGCGCATCTTCTGCTGCACGCACTGGTGCTGCTGCAGCAAGTGCGCTCATATGCACAGCACTGAGCCACCATGCATTAGAGTCTGTGTGCCGTGTAGATGCACGGTACCCTGCATTCCATCCTAGACAGTTTTGAAAATCGACAAGCACACACTTCTCAAGTGGTGTTGCCTGCGCATTGTGATCCCTTTTGAACAGCCTCAGCTGCACCTGTTGAGCCTTCATGAATGCCCACTGCGCAAAGAAAGAGTCAGGTGTGACTTCAATCACCTGAATTTGCAAGTCTTCCAGCTCCTCGCTCAGCGGCTGCAGCCACTCTTCAAGTGCAAGCAGAGGAGTGCGCGCAAGCTGCTTGACAGCTGCATTTAGCGTTGGTGCTGTGATGGTGACCTCAATGCGGCATCCTCCCAGGAAGTAGTCATCTTCTTCAAAGCCCTCTTGCAGGAGGGCAGCCTTGCGCTCAAGTGATGAAAGCCGAGCCTTGCTCATCCGCACAGAGCTTGGTGGCCACCGTGGGTGCTTCCCTGCAAGGGCCTTGAGGCGATGCACAAGGCGCGGATAAACTTTGACACGGTAGTCCTGCTCCTCGTACTGCAGCTGTGCGTCAACAGAGCCATAGCCGCGCCCAAGCGCAAGCAGCATCGGATCAACCTGCATTCCAGTTGCACGTGATGCTGCAGGCTTGAACAGCGGTATGGTGCGTGTGCGGTACATGGCACCCAAGTCCCAAGTGTTGTCTCCTGCGAGGTCATGATCTGCATCTCCAAACCACTTGGTTTCCACGCACTTGAGAGAGCTCTTCATGCCATATGCCTGGACGCGCACAGCAGTGCATCCAATGCAGACCAGCGCTTCAACAAGCTGAGAAAGATGGATTGACTGCTTTCCATTGATCAGTGCTGTGGCATGCTTTGATGCATCTAGAGCGTATTTACCAGAGAGATGGTCCAAGAGCGGCAACTTGAGCTCCAGCTCTATTTTGCAGTATTGAACCGGTGATGCAACATAAACCCAGTCTTTGTACTTCTTTGCATCGCGTATGTTTGGCGCATAGCTGCTCAGCGTGACCAATGCATCACTGCCAAATGGATCAATGAGCGCTTCTGGCATCAGAGTCATGTTATAGCCATCAAGGTCTTGAGGCTTTGTCCAACGGGTGTTAAGTGGCAACATATTGAAGAGCGCAAATGTGAGTGAGTGGTGGTGTCAATGAAACATGTAACATAGCTTCAAGCATGCGCACTTGCAGCCAGGCACCAGGTGCTGCACTGGAAGCCGGACACCAGGCGGGCGCAGGGTTCTCACAGCCAAAAGCCGTGCGGGATCAAATTTGATCTCACAGCCAAAACCCATGTGTGTGCGTGCGGGATCAAATTTGATCACACAGCCAAAACCCGTGGGTGCGTGTGTGTGTGTGCGGGATCAAATTTGATCTCACAGCCAAAACCTGTGCTTGTGTGCGTGCGTGCGGGATCAAGACGCATCAAAGAGCGTGCAGTGCTGCATCACAAGTACTGCTAGGCGCGTCAAAAGAGCGAGCGCATCACGTGCACAGCTAGACGAGCAAAGAGCGCACATAATCACGTGCGTGGTCAGGCGCGTCCAGAATGCGCGCGCAGTGCTGCATCACGTGCACAGCTAGACGCGTCAAAAGAGCACCGGGCAGTGCTGCATCACGTGACTGTGGCAGAATTTTGGCAACTTCAAATGCTGATTCCTAAGGCAATTTTGTAGGGTTTGGGGAATGCTTGGGCTTGTTGGAAAGGTCTTTCTTAGAGCTTTCAGGAAAGCCTAAGACCTCATCTGTCCCTATTTCAGACACCCTTGTAACCCTAACCCAAACTCTCCTCACAGCTCTCTCACTTACACGCACTAACCCTAACCCCACTCACTGACCCTCTCTTCCCACAGCTCTCTCATTTACATGCACTAACATCCCCCTCATTCACTGACTGACCCTCTCTCCTCACAGCTCTCTCATTAACACGCACTAACATTCCCCCACTCACTGACCCTCTCTTCCCACAGCTCTCTCATCAACATGCACTAACATTCTCTCACTTCCTTCTTGCTTTTCTGCCTCACTCCCTCATTAACACGCACTAACGTCACCTGATCCCTTTCTTCTTCACCCACCTCTCTTATTTACTTGCACTAACACACTCTCATTTACCAACTTGATCCCCCCTGCTTGCTTACCCACTCTCTTATTCACTGACTCTCAATTCCTCAGATCTCTCTCATTTACTGACTCTTCCCTCCCAAATTCATTCCACAAAACCCTCTTACTGACTGACTCTTCAACTCCTCTATCCTTGTCTCAAACTCCTTCATCTACTGTCCCTGAGTATCCTGCAAACATCTTTCTGCCACCAATGCTTGTTGCTTGACTGTTCAAAACTCTTGCCCTTTGCCTTGCATGCTCCACACCTGCTACACATGCTCTGCATCCTTTGACTGTTCTGCAGCCTTGCCTACTTGCACTATCATTCTTGCAACTCTATTCTGCTCCATGACTTTACAGCTCTCTCAACCACTGACTGGGATGTACACCTGACAAGCTCTCTTTTTGTGTTCACAAACTGCTTGCATCCCAGCACGCCCCTGCTGATTGCTTTCTGCACACCTCACAACTCCCTTACTTACATGCACTAGCATCCTCTCATCTTCATACTCTGCTGACTGCTGATTTGCCCCTAAGATTGTTGCATTTGAACACACAGACCTCCCATTTCTGCACTGTTCTGTGCCTTCTGATCAACTGATTGCAATGCTCCCACATCTTGTCTTTTCCCTGGCTGCTACCTGTCTGCTTGATCCTTGTCCAGACCTTCTTCAACATGCACAAACATGATTGGTCTCGCTCCATCTTTTTCAAGCACAGCTTGTTTGCTTGCCTGTTCTGCTCTCTCATTAACCCACACTGACATCCTTTGAACTGGACATTGTTTGCTTGGAACTTCCCACTACTTGACTGTCAAACTTTCATGCTGACCTGCAGAAATTACATTCTGGGTCACTGCTGCCTGGCTGTCACATGCTCTCATTCACATGTTAGACACAACACCAACTTTACCTCAATCCTACCTTGATTCCAAGCACGTGACCATATCCTGTCACATGCCGCAGATCCCAAGCATCCTGCGCCTCCCAAGCATCCTGCATATCCCGGAACACTCCCTGAGTCCCAGATCAACCCTGTACCCCTTTACTTTCTGACCTCTATCGCAATTACTATTCATTCACGCAGCAAGCTGATCTAGAACTGCTCTGAACTCCACTACTGTGAGTACAGAGCCTTTGGGCAGCCTACAGGCAGAATGCTGGTGCTGGGCCACCACCTATTTGGCCCAATATAGTCATCATAGGCATAGCAAGTCCAAATCCTGATTGTGCTGGCTCACGTAGCCGACCCCTCTGGAAGATGCGCGCGTTTGTATGGCGAATGAATCTGTATGGCAGGTATATCTGCATGGCGTGCGCCTCCATATGATGCGTGCATCTGTATGGCGCATATGGCCCATATGACACGCATCTGTCAGCGTACTTTTACGGCGTAAAAGTGAAAGTTTGTGGATCTGCAGACCTCTGGACACGTTTTTTGGTGAGGATCTGGCTGTGCATCCTCCTTTTGCGCTGTAAAAGTCTTGGGCCATATGTATGGGATGCCCTTGTAACTTAGACCCTAGCCCTGACCCTCTACGCCCATGTTGATTTTCATCCTCTTTGGGAACCTGTATGTAACCCCCCTCCTCGACGGCCGCTATTCAGCAAATGAAGATATGCCTGCTAGCCTTTACTGCGACAATACATCTCTATCTGAATCGAGAAGACAAATTTACAAATGTAAAGTTGTCTCGACGTGCTGCGCAGGCTGATCTCCTGGCAGACTGAGGTTGTATGGAGGGGTCGATTCAATGCCCCACCCACCGAGGCGCTGCTGCAGAGGCGCTGCAACATCTGCGTCATCACCAGGCTGAAAGTCTCTATTTTGTTTTTGTTTGTGCTGTTGCGGTGAAACAATCGAGATGCAAAGAGGTTCGATTTCCACAGATAAGACTAATGGTGGAAACGAAAACAGGTCGTACATCACGTCAAGAAGCGAAGAGAGCGACCTGACTGTGTGCGAAGTCTCGGACGTTCTGCGACACCACGACAGAGGCGTAAAGCGAGCTTGAAGTTCGAATGTGCAGCAAAAGAATCAAGAAACATTCGTATTTCAGAAAAGAGCAAAGGGCGTTTGCATGGGAAGGTCCTTGCAACACTTGGCGTGCAATCAGTGGTGACTTTTGGCCAGTGCTACAGAGGGTGGTACTAGGTCTGTCTTCTCGCCGTCACTAAAACTCGCGACGCATCTCTCGAGCATTTGAACGGTCTCGGGATGAGCGAGCCACTTGTCTGTGAGTTGTCGAATGAGCGGGATAGCGCTCCAATCATCCATAAGCGTCATGAGTTCCTCGTACTTTTGGCCGTTTCCTACCACATCGCCATCAGAAAGCGCTTTGCTCAGGTTGAAGCGCCAATACTTCTCCTTTCCGAGAAGCGCAAAGCGCGGAACAATGTCTTCTGCTGCTTTGTGCGCTGTTTCCGAATTCGTCAACATCCCAATTACTTCCTTGATCGTCGTGCTTACTCCTGTCTTCGAGAATCGCAGATCCTTAGGCACACCTGTTCCCAAACTGATTACCGCCTCGATAGGTCGAGCTGGTCCGTACACGTGATTCATCTCCGTGAACAACCTGTAAGAAGCGATGGAGAGCGCAGTACAACGCACGGGTTAGCAATATCCTCCATTCTGTCTGACTACCCCTCAATGTTCCTCTGATGCACGTCTTCTCCACTCACTCAAGCACCGGGTTGTTGAAACCCATGCCTCCATCGATGAACTCATCGTCGCCCACCTTGAGTCGTTCAAAGTAGACGGGAGCTGCAGAGGTAGCTCGTGCGGCTTGCCAGAGCGTAAAGTCCTTGTACAGGTCTGGAACGTTAGGGTGAGAGACGTAACTACGCAGATGCACACCCATCTTTCCGTCATCCGTCGGATTGGCTCTGCAGGTCAAGACAACGCTGTGGCGTGGCGCGACATTGCGTCGGAAAAGGTGAGCAATGTGTTGTGCATGGTGGGTCTGCGTTGCCGTGCCTACTCATTGCCTCGTTACGACGCAATGCTGTCCAGGCCCAGCGTTCACGTCGTACCAAAGCGCAAGATGAACTCACACTTTACACTCCTCCGTGTCGGTAGTATTATTCTCATCCCGAAGTTTCATCTCTCTATCTTTCTCAATCCCAAACTCTCCCGCAATTTCTCGAACGGCATCCGCCAGCTTGTCGGCATCGTACATATAACTTCCCATTGCGAAAGCTACACCTTCGTTGTATTTGATCCATCCCGCCTTATATTGGAACACCTGCTTGGAGATCTTGTCGTAGGCCGCTTCACACTGTGCGATGCTCAGCTTGAGACGACCTAGCATCATAGCGATAAGCCTATTCCAGCGTGATGCGGGGAGAAGTGGGTAGGACATCGATTCAGCGCCATGATTCCGATCACTAGTGCCGAGATACCGCGGCATACGTGGCATACTCACCCTCCTGTACTCGTGCCTGCGATCATGTCGAACCATTGGTGGGGGTGAATAGGGTTGTCGGGCTTGCGACCCTCTCTAGCCGAGACTCTGTCCATGATCTGCTTCAAGCTGCGCAGTTCCGACACACCGCGGACTCCACCGCCATCTGACAGCATTACCAAAGGCGGGGACAAGACCGCGTCAGCAACAAGGATGAGTCCACGCTCTGCGAGCGATCCTCCGAACTGTTTCCTCACCCAAAGACAAGACGCGCAGAGGTCGAAGCGAAGCGCTATAAGAGGGAGGAGGAGCTGAAGGTGATGGGTTGGTCAAGACTTGGTCTGCACGAATCTCGTTGGAAAGAGCGCCGGTAGTTTGCGATTGAATCACAACATCGCTCTGTGCTTCGACTGCGTTATAGAATTTTCTGACCGTTTGCTGAAGCACTTTGGTCGTCTCTGTGGCCTGGGTATAGTCTGGAATGGGGATTGCTGGCGCGGCCTTGCCTGCCAGATAGAATACTCGCAGCTTAAGAAGTGGCTCGTGCGCACAAGACTGAGCTATGCACCTCGCATGTCACTCACTCTCATTGGAGATGCGCACGACGAGTTTGCCATCCTTGGCGTAATTTTCCCACCCCTTGTACTGAGCGCACACCCGCACTGCTAGCACATTTCCCTCTCTCAGAGCCGACTTGATATTTTGGATCTCCGCGCATCGAACGTCTTCCTGCTCATCAATGTCGAAAAGTTGACCGGCCTGACCAGTTCGTGAAAAGTCGTTTGTAACATTCTGATGAGAGAGCCAGCAGAGCGTGACGCCATTAACAATGCGCGGAGTCGTGGCGCTTGGAGAGTCGAGGATGACAATGTCGAACCAGCTGAAGCTGTCCTTGGCCTCGATGGCTGGCAATACGCCTTCTTCAGGTAGACGTTGAAATCGAGAGCGCGTGAAGAGCTGGACGCTCTCCAGTTGATCGATGGCTGCACGGTCCAGAGCTGGACTGGTCATCCAGATGCTCGACCGAACCTTGGAATCTTCAGCGCGCACTAAGCAGGAAGTGGTGGCTGAAAAAGTGTACACTCCGTCCTTGATCTCTGCCTCGTGCTTGGGGATTGTGCTATTGGTGAGTGTCCAATTTTGAGGCGTGAAGAGGTCTACGGAAGGTTGAGGGCGACGTGGTCAGTGGTTGAAGGTAATTCGGCTGTCACGGCACGGCGCCGCGCCCTCGCACAGCACTCACCTTCGCTGAGCAGACGTGCAGTGACAAAGGCTCTCGTGGCAGTGTTGATGGAACCACGTCTACGTGCGCACACCCTAATGGCAAGAACATCTCCTTCGGCGAGACAAGCAAGCAGGTCCGCTCTACGGTCGAACACGGTTCCAAAGTGGCGAACAGGAACGTTCAGGCTGTGATCGGGTGAGATCTGATTGAAGTGAGAAGTCCAGACCATCTCTCTGCCGCTCTTGCTTCGCTTGATTTCCGTGGAATCTGCGCTGGGAAGAATGGCAATGTCGAACCACGTTTGGCTTCCCTTGAGGGCATCCAGACCGTCAGTCGGTGAATCCCCAGCAACGGCTAAGGCAACGGCACCCTGATCGTGCGAGTCGGTGCATAGTTGAATCTCAGCTACGCGTGATACAAATTTACGGGAGAGAGGCCGGGAGGTGAACCAAGTCTGGCTGACCGCATCCTGCTCCATACCCTGCACAACGAGGGGATCGACTTTGCACTTTTCGGTGCTGATCCACGCCTCCTCAAAGATGGCGTCAGCTGCTACTGGCATGGTGCTTTGGTATGAAATGTGAAAGGGATGTTTGAGGTTGAGGAAGAACAGAGGAAGAAGGGCTAGTCTGCGACTGGAACGAGACGATGGACCTCGGGGTGCGATCTCACCTGTCAAGGATTCCCTTTAAACCTTTCGCCAAACTTGACGTGTGCTATTGAGTCGCGTCGAGGGAGAGTCGAGGAGAAGAGACACTTGACACTGAAGATTTCTAATGGGCTCCGTCATGAGCGCTTTGACTGGTGATGAGGGACACAGCGTAGTCGCAGAAAAGCCATGCCAGACACGGGCACGTACGAGAGGAGATTTTCCGGGTGTGGCTGTTGTGCACAGCGCTCCGTGTGCGGTGTGCGGCGATGCGGACGAGCGCGAGTGGTGCGCCTTATGGCGACGCGCACCAAGCCACGCGGAGTACGCAAGCCACCACGGGAGGCGGGGAAGGGAAGCTGAGTTTGAGGCGGACTCACAACCTTGTCCTTCCCGGTCCAAGCCGTGTAATTACGAATGCTGCCACTGTTGGAACAGACATGCTGGCCACTTCAATCGAGGATCTCCATCGAGCCGGCTTCGAGTCGTGAGCGAATGCCATCAATTCCGCGCCGACCCCGATCCCGCTCTTCTTTTTCAAGTGGCACTGGAGCAGATTGATTAATTGACCAGCAAGGCACCGCATGCACGCGCGTCGGTCATCCACCCGATCGCGCATGTGCACTCCAGCGCGCGTCCCGCGCCGCGCCACGCCACGCCACACGCACACTGCACTGCACTGCCCTGCCCTTGCCTTCCTCCTCTCACTTTGTCGCGCACAACTCGGCCCGATATCTGAGATGTTGGCAATCGGGATCGTGTGAATGTCTGAATTTATCCGTCGTCTCTATCGACTGTCGTCAGACCCACCGCATCGATAGGTGCCATGCCATGCATCTAGCTCCCGGAATGCGTCTTGCAAGCGTGAAATTTGCCGTTGTGCCTTCATCGACTGGCTCCACGCACAAAGTGCGCAGCAGACAGACACGATTGGGCCCACAGCCTTCTGTATGCTCAGTACGTGAGGCACGCACGTCTCTGCGGGTTAGCGTGCGTGTGGAGCGGATGACACGCATCTGTCTGCGCAGTCTGTGTACTTTCGCGGTGGAGAGTGAGCTCTCTCTATCTGGGTAGTGTGAGTCAAGCACGGGATGATCGATGTATTGAGGATGGATGTATGTGTGTGAGAGTCACGAGTCTAGACATGTACCCCTGCATAGCGGGGCGCGCGCGATAGTCACGTGTCACGTGTCAACAGGTAGAGGTGCGGACGCATCCCTTGGCTATGTATATGAAGTCGCGAGTCGACTCGCCATAGGGTCGCTATGTCCAATTCTGCGGATTGGGCCAAGATACGTGATTGCTCTTCTTGAGAGTGTCATTCACAACTTGTGACACTTGTTTACATCGGCGTGCATCTGTAGAGGTCATTCGTTGAAATACGTAACTCACCCTCAAAATATACCAAGGGACTTCCCTCTCGCTTCTCTCATTGAGCTTGAGCTGCAGCATCGCCGGTGCAATGCGACCGCGCGAGTCGAGCCAGGCACCGACCAATTCCTGACCTACCCCTCTGTACGCTATAGCTTGGACGCATTCGAGCAGAACGATGCCATCTCGTCTGGGCGGGCACACTCGAGGGAGCGCTGCCGCACAATCAGCGCTTACTCTGAGCTCCGAGACTTACTCACGGTGTATGGTACACTTTTCTCGCTGGCAAGCGCCGAATACAGCCAATTCAGAAGCAGGTGCGCAGCCTTTGAAATGGACTCAATCCGAAAGGAGCCATTGTGGTCATCGTATTGAGCAACACCTGAGATATCATTGCGGCCTCTAGGCAAGACGTAGATACCAACTTCAGTCTCCACGGCCAAGCTTCTCGCGCGGCGGTGTCGCTCGGATTGCCGCTGAACCGTGATGTCAGCTCTGATGTGGGATAGTCTTCCGGATGATAGATGGCTTGGGCGAAATCGATGTTGCCAAGGGTCGCGTGTAGCAGCAGCAAACCAAGCACGAAGGATACAGCTGGCGTGTTGGAGACATCTAGCTTCTCGACTCCTTTTCCCGACTCAAGCGGCTTACGTCGTCGCAAGAGACCAGCAGTATCTGGTCTCTGATGTAGCTCATTCCACTTTGCGACTTTCGATTGTCTCCATGGTCTGAAGCTGACGCGAAAGGTCGCGAGACATTGCGGAAAGTGGAAGGGAAAAGCCGCGAGGGCTAGTAGCACCGCCTCAACAAGCTCTTCGAACGGTGACCACATGTCCGCTGACGTCATTCCCCTGCCTGAGCCTGTGGATGACGAGAAACGAATTTGAATATCCGAAAAGTCAGACACAGCCTGTCCGATGATTTCTAGAGCAAGAGCTGCACTTGATAAGCCAAGAGATGTTGCGCGACTCCAGCAGTAGAGCAACATCCCTTGTGACAACGCACCTAGAGCATCATCAAGCAGACGAGGAGGCCAAGGCGATAGTCAACGCAGGTAACTCACTTGGCGAGATCGATGTGCCGACCAGAAAATTGCACACAAGTTTCACAACTCCGACGAGCGTTAAAACCCGCCTGCTGTCGCCCGTCAAGATCCAAGCCAAGATGTCCACCCAGTGATATGCCTGCCTGAGCAATAAGCCCTCAGCGAAAAGCTCTCGAGCTTGAACTCGAGTCTTTGTCGAAGTAGAAGCTCGCCCCTTCAACCTCCCGGCGTTGTCGCTCTTGAAGACATTCTTGTGTATGCGTGCAATTTTGTTACCTGCGAATCTCTCTTCTTCTGAACCGCTTAAGCCATAGCGTGACATGGACATCAAAAGGCGTCTTCGCAGCAAAAAGTGACATGACGACATCGTCCTCCCACGGCTTGTGTAGGATTTTCCCCACCAAATGCTTAGGTCTAGATCCACGCGTAATTTGCTCTGGCTTGGCGAACAGCCCCTGGCAAGGACTTGAATTGCGATCTCGAGCCAAGCGCAGCCCAAATGCTGGAGCACACGATGCTAGCAGTGCAAAAGCTGGAACGACAGAAGGTACAGCGATGCGCGTCTTCCTCGATGCTTTGTCCATCGATGTTTGTCTTGTGCGTTTGCTGTTCCAGGCTTCGAAGGGTGAAGCAGAGCGCTCTTCCGTTCAGGAATCTTACTGGTCAAGGTTGCACTGTGCGCAGGCTGTGTATCGAGTCGCCTTGATGAAATGTCATGGTCAAAGGAGAAGTGGTTGCGAACGCGCCGCGCCGCGCTTCTCGACCGTTGCAACGTGCTCTGCCCCTCAAATGGCAGACATATATGCATGCTTTGCCAAGACACGGGAAAGAAAGCACGCGTGAGTTCGACGTGTACACGACTGTACAGCAAAATGATCCGTTCGAAGACTTGGCGTCTGTGCTGTGCTGTGCTGTGATGCAAGTTGCAGACTGCTCAGCAACATCTCCATTGACGTCACTTAGAACATCCCGCTCCACATTACTCTTGACGTCCTCTCGAGGCGCGCAAATCCTCCTCCCACGTGTGCCACTCTCCTTCCATGGCCAAGGTGAGATGAAGAGGTGCCGAGTGAAGCCTTGCTGATCAGTGCGATCTGAGCAGGATGGCGAACAACCGGCCCTGCTCTAGGACTTGCTTACTTGCGATATGCTACCGTGCTTGGCCCATCCGCTGAATCGTGAGTATTGAAGAGGCCGTGCCGGTGCGAGAGACAGACGAGATGACTTGCACTGCACCGCACCACCACAACTCAAACATTCGAGTCTGAAGTTGACAAATGAAAGCTGCCGCCGGTACCGAGCCTTTTGCACTCGACTGCCACTTTTGTGTGGATGAGAGAGCCGCAGCGATCGCATCCCCTTCCGTGCATGGCGAAACTCGAGTCACCAGGGCACGTACAGTAGAAGCTGCTGCATGCTGCATGGCTGATTATGATTCACGTGATTCGCATTCATGATGCTTGGCTGCGCGTTGTGCGCGTTAATTGTTCCCAAGTCCTCAACCCTCGCACAGAAGCAACAGCCCAGCCAGCCCGTCTTACCTTGCGCACGCGAACAGGCCGCAACTCCGACTGCATCGTCGCGTGCGTGGCTGATGTATCGTGTGGCGGTGTCAGCAAAGCTAGCTAGATGCGTCCGGAGCTGCAGACGGGCGCCGATCCGTGGAGGTGCAAGAGCGGCCGCAACAAAGACAATGGTGGATCTACTCGAGGCTTGATTGCCCCAAACAGATGCTGACTCTTGACTTGCGTTGCTGCTCTGCTGCTGCGCTGCATGAGCCCCACGGCACCTTGGACCATCGTGCAAGTCGCGCACCGCATGCTGCGCTAGAGGGCGAAGCTTGGACGACCGCATGCATGCATGCATGCAAGCCGATGCAGAAAGCTGCACAATACATCCGGTTCGGCCGGGCCGAGACAGAGCGCGGCGTGCAGAGAGTCTCGGTTGTCTTTCTCGAGCAAGTGCACTCATGACTCACGACTTGAGACTCTTGACCAGCCCGGTCGCGAAAAATTCATCACGATCGTCGGAGGGCTAATACAAAGGGCGGCGGAGAGACGAGACGCTTGGGATTGAAAGGGATGATCGACAAGGGCACCATGGAACGCGGAGGGCGCAGTACAGAGGAAGAACAGCGATGGATGGATGCCATGGCGCCTCAGTCCGGACATTTGTCGCGATACGCGCAACGACACGGCTTCATCGCCGTCGTTTGCGAAGCGAAAAGTCTTGCTTGCTGCAGCTCTGCGTCTGAACCCGATGCATGCGTGCGTGCATGCATGACCATCTGCGAAAGATGCACGCAGCTCTCGCACATCCAATGCGAGTCGAGGGCGAAGGCTCCATGCAGCCAGCCCAGGAACCGGCGTCTGCTTGCTTGCGTTTGCTTGCGTTTGCCCTCGTCGCAATACTGGCTCTGCTGACTCTGCCGCCCAGGCGCCGGTTGATTATTGCTTCTGGGCACGGCATCGCATCGCATCGCATCGCATCGCATCGCATCGCATCGCATCGCATGGCACCGCATGGATGGCTGCAAGCAGCGAGACTTAGCGTCGACGCCATGCGAAGCTTGAGTGTGACGCACCGCGTGGTGCTCTCTTTACGTCGTGGCCTTCGATAGCACGCACGCAACGCACGCACGCACGCACACACGCGCTCATCCCTGACCACTCGCAGCGCTCATAACGGTTAGAGTGCGCGCTACCACACTCTCATCCCCACCCAAACCTTGCTTGCCGCCATCCCTGCTCATGCTTCGTGACCGTGACCCCTTCTGCTAAGCTGGTTGGCACGCGGCCGTCGAGATGGAAGACCACGAGCGGCCAACGAGCCCGAGCCCGAGCCCGAGCCCGAGCGCGAGCACAAACGGAGCGAGCAGCGATGATCGTCTACCGCCACTCGCATCGACGATGTTCAAGTCGAGCTGGGACAATGCGTCCATTCGAGCATCCAGCATCAAGGAAAAGGAAAAGGAAAAGGATAGAAAAAAGAGCTTTTCCTTACCGCGAGCTGGTCACTTTCCCATCCTGGGAGAGAAGCACCTCATCACGGTGATGGGAGCCAAGACGGTGATCCCGAGCAAGGAGCGCAAGAACAATGCCCTCATTGGGCATGTTGCGCCCGAATTCCGCCTCAAAGACCAAAAGGAGCGATGGACGGTGAGCAGGGCGTGACGTGACGTGGTGTGGTGCTGCAGCAGTGACGCTACCTCTAGGCGCAGCTGACGTCTCTCGCACCGGTGGTTCAAGTCGCTGCACACCACTCTTACGCTCGGTCGCCCAGTCATCGTTTTGTGAGTTCGCGTCGTCGTCTCAGTCAAGCGGGATCTATCGACGCAGGGCTCTCATGCCATCATGTCGGGCCACACTTGCACAGCTTCTTTCCACTGGCAGGCACGCCACACTGTACCACCGAATCGTGCATGTTTCGAGACGCTTTGATGGCCACGCCAGTCTTTCATCAGACCAGAGCCATCGTCATTGGCATCTCGCAAGACCCGCCTGCAAGATCTTCGCGCTTTGTGCAGGAGCACAAGCTAACGTACCGCGTCTTGTACGATGAGGGCAGACGCGTGATGAACAGGTGGGGAGTCAGCAAGGCCATGCTGGGCTTGGCGGATAGCAGGTGCACCTTCGTCGTCGACCCCTCCGGCGTCGTCAGGGGCATGTGAGTCGAAAGCGTAGGCGATTGCGGTCGATCGAAAGCACACTTGCTGCAGACAGCTGACTTTGTGCCATCATCACAGGGCCGAGGGAGTGTTCGACTCTGCTGGACACATCAAGTACGCTGAACGCTGGCTGACCAGGATTGAGCACGAGCTGAGCAGCCGCAAGCGCCACGAGCAGTGGATTCCGCTCGGCGAGATCCCAGGGCAGGGCGACGTTGCTGCCAAACGAGCTTCAAAGACGATTCGGGAAAATCTCGACGCGGATCCGAGCAACCCTTCGCCAGCCGACGTGGGCTGGGAAGGCGCAGACACGCCTCTCATTCCGCCACCTGAATGGCGCGCTGCCGAGCGTCGCCGTAGACGAGATTCTGGTGACTTGGACGTCGATGAGGAGCAAGAGGATGCCATTTTGCCTCGCGACGACGCTGAGGCTGCACGTCGGGATCTCGGTGCCGAGGATCCGCTCGTCTCCGCATCGACGGGATCAAGGATCGTCTCAAGTTCTGGCTTGAAGCATCTCAAGATCTTGTACGGTCCACCAGGCTCTGTCTTGGCGGGTGGTATCGGCGACGCGCCGCGGTATGGCGCCATGCCTGCCACTGCCAAGCCTAGTGTCGAGCTGAACGGTCGCTCACTCGGAGAGGCCTTTGGAACCTCATCCGATCTCAGCAGGTACATGTCGCCGCCTGATCAAGTTGCCGAAGCCGTAGCGCCGCCATCGCAGGCCGAGGAGGAGCAGGAACAGCTGCTGACCCACATTGACGCACACGGGGAGGACAACGTCCTGGCAGCCATCGACAGCACATCCGATCTCACTCGCTCAGAGTCTTCGTCAGTCGCTGTATATCGCCCAATCAGTCGAGGAGGCAGTAGCTTCATTCCCAGCAACCAGTACAAACCCCGACAGCCAAAGCCTTCGCCTTCTGCTGCACCAGAGAGACCGCCGATTGCCCGCAACAAGTCCGAGAGCGAGTCAATTTCGTCTCTCAACTCCATGGGCGCTTTCGGATTCAAGCACTTTATCTCACAACTCTCAAGTGCGGACAATGAGCCTCCGCCTCTGGCATCGCTGTTCAAGCTATCAAGACCGGGCGCGTCGGAACCCTTGGCGGCGGGCGAAGAGCCTTCGGTTGCTTCGCCGGCCACCGGTACCTTTTCTTCTCGCTTCCGAAAACAGAAGCAGTCCTCGCAAGCAAGCGAGGCGGTGGAGGAGGAAGCAGCACAGGGCAAGACTGCAAGCAGCAGCGCCTCGATCCGCTCCAAGTCTTCGACACGCAACAAGCTCAAGTCGGCTGCTGCTGCCATGCTGGCTGCGAGGAAGCCGCGCGCGCGCGGCGATGCACCTGCCATACCCCCTACTTATGCCAACATAGATACGCAAGAGGAAGAGTTTGGCGAGATAGATGACGCTGTGAGCGTGTACGACAGTGCTAGCACGACGCGGGACGGCGCTTCGAGCGTCGTTCACGACCCAGACTCTAGCTGGACGCACCACTCGCCGGCTGGCGCAACGTCCCGCTCTTCCGACACTGGACATACCCGCTCTCTCAGGTCGAGACGGTCCAGCGCGCGATTGCAAAACGAGGTGGTGATGAAGAAGCAAGAAGAGAGATTTGGCACGCAGGACGTTGTGCCTCCTCTTCCCGTCGGCTGGACAAAGACCGAAAGCGCTTCGTCGTCACCGTCGCCCCATTTGCGCAGCACCGGTGTTGGCTCGCAGATCCCTCTTGGAGGCGGCATGACGCCGACGTCGTCGTCCGGGCGTCGTTTGGTAGATGCGCTCTCCTCGCCTCGCACCCCTGCTCGCGAGTCCACCGAATCGCCGAGCAGCTTTGAGACTGCTGCCGATATCGCAGGCCCCGCGGTGGGCTCACCTGCAGCCCCGCCGAGCGCAAACGGTGCAATCTCGCCGACAAGTCGTTCGATTCCGGCAAGAGGCATGCAACTCAGCGATCCTCCTCGGTCCTCTGACGCCGCAAGTAGGAACGAAAAGGCCGCACCAAAAGGCGCAGCGGCGCTGGTGGCCGCCTCCACTAGTAGTGATTCGCCTCTCACTAGTGCAATGATGCGCAGTATTTCTTCACAGCAGCCTAAACCGCCCGCTTCACGTACGAGTCTAAGACGAACCCCAGCCAAGAGGCGTACATTGGACCTTTCCAATGGACGTCCTGCTCCTGCCGATGTGCCGCAAGACGAAGCGGCGGACGATGCAGGCTCGACGGCTTCGAGACGTTCGACGATCGAAGACGATGCCGACGAGTCGGAAGAGTACATTAGAGTCAACGAAGATGGCAAAGTTGACCTCGTCGGACCCAAAGAGCCGCACGCCTCGAGACCGACGACGCCACAGGGTCAGGCACCTCCTCCCGCATTTGGCTCCTCTAAAATGAGTCCTGGCAGCTCCATTACCGGCGGCCCAGGTATGTTCGGTGGCCTCGTGGAGGAGCTGGACAACGCGGGACCACAAGAGGTTGCGCGTAGCAAAACAAAAGCAACCGGCGGCTTCAACAATCCACTAACGGCAGCGCTGCAAGCGGCCAGCGAAAGCGCTCAGAATCGTCGACGATCTAGCGCCTTGGCTGGTCAGCAGAAAAGAACAGCGCAACAGGAAGCGCAAAGCGAGGACACTGACTCCACATCCCACAAACGCAACGACTCTGCGTCATCGGCAGGCACGGAACACGGGACGCCACCGATCCCTCAGCGTGCCTCGTCCAGACCAGCTAGTCGCGATAGCACTAGCGACGGGGCGCTTGCGAGTGATGCGCAGCAGCGACAAATGATTTCGCCGCTCTTTGGACGTATGTTGGAGGAGCAATCTCGCGCTTCTCCGCCAGGCGTCAAGAAGAATGTCATGCGGCAACAGCACGCACCTCATCGTCGCATCCCTACAGGCTCGACCGACAGCAGCTCCGAGGCTGCGTGGACGTCGTTTGGAGGGGCAGCCTCGACTGCATCGGATGGCGGCGGTTTCAAGACGCCGCTGGATCATACGCCTACCGGTACGCCCAGCCACTCTAGAAGACCGAGCCAGAGTCAGAGCCAATCGCCAAGCTTGAGCGGCACGCCACAATTGATCGCAAAGTCTTCCCTTTGGAGCACGGGCAGCAACACCCGGCAGCGTAGTCCGCCAAGCATACCACCGCCACCGCCACCGCCACCGCCACCGCTCTCTTCCTCGGGCAGCGAAGCAAATGCAAAGGAGGAAAGAGCCGCTGCCGCAGCAACGGGCTGGGCCAGTCATCCCTTTGCGAGCGTCTTGGGATCCTCCAATCAAAGCGAAGCCTCGTCGAAAGATTCTGCAATGCGGCACTCCACAAGCGACCGCGGCGCGCCGAGCACCAAGAGTGCGAGCCCGATGGATCGTCCAGAAAGCTTTCTAGATGCCTCCGACGACGACGAGTCTTGGCAGGAGAGCGAAGATGGCGTAGGAGAGCTCTCTTCGCTGAAAGCTGGCAAGCACAGCAGGAACGGCAGCGCAACCAGCATGCAAAAACACACTCGAGATTCAAACGCTCTCGCCTCACCTGAAGATCGCAGACCTAGCGTCGCGAGCATTCAAAGCAGCGGAACATTTGGTGCTCCTTGATCGATTCGCTTTGCCCCCCCCCCCGCCAGACGTGTATGCCCACATCTGCACCGCTTGATAGGATTGTATCGAACATTCAATGCCCATTCAAGCCATGCCCATCGAGTCTCGGCGGCGAGACGCGCCGTGAAGTCACGCGCTGCGCCCATGGATGTAATCTTAGCGCTCTCTCTAAACGCTTCTTGGACACTTTGTAAGGCGTCTTGTCGTGCTGAAAAGCTGTCCACGAGCCATCGCCGTGATCGATGGGGAGGAGCTCGCCGTGCTTATAGAGCGGTCCGGTGCTGGGATGCTTGTAGTCGGGAAAGACGCGGTCGGGATGCAACAGGATGCCAGCGATTTGAGACGGGTGGACGTTGGTGCTCTTGCCGTTGGGCAAAGGGACGGTCCAGACTCCATGCTCGTTGCGCATTGCTCGTTGCATGGACATTGAGCGGTCTGGCGATGGTGCATCCAAGTCGAAATGCAGCCCGTCGTTGGAAGAAAGCTTGGGCGAGCCGTCGGGCGGGTGAAGCTTGCGAAAATCCGATACCAGACAGCTAAACGAGCATCCACGAAGCTGCAGAGCGAAGTGGGCTACACCGTGAGCCGAGGCTAGCGCTGTTGGCGGCGCGATCCACTCACCATCAAGAGGCGCGAGAAGCGCGCTTCTCCGAGCAGCTGTGGAGCAGCCGAGGCGGCCATACAGGCCATCAACATGCCGAGCCAGATCTGAGCGCGAGCGCCGTGCATGACGTTCGTCGTCGCACTGAAGCCGGTGTCTTTGCGCGCGCGCGTATGTGTGTGTGCGTTTATTGTGTCGGGGCCATTTGCTTGTCAATCGAAGCAAGCCCTCTCCGCTGGAGCGTACAGAGCAGTCGTATAAAGAGGTCGCAAGGTTTGAGTTTGAATCCTTCTTGCGCTGCTCATATATTTTTCACAAGAGGGTGCGCTTGTGTTTGCCACTGCATGTCGGCCTGGTAATATCGATGCGTCAGATGTACCATACTATTCGCCCAAGCAGAAGAAAGCTGAAGCGCGCAAGAAACACGTCTGCGGCGTGTGAGCTTGCGGTCAAGGGTGTTCCCTGAGCCACCGGAACACGCGGAACACATGGAGCGCGAGGATCGCTTTCGATCACAGATTGTTTTGCTCGGTGAGTTGGATTGTTAGCGCGCTGTGGCAACGAAGCTTCGTGGCCGTTGGGGGCGCAGGGACAGTCACCGTTCACCGCCACCTGCTGCGCGACGACCCGGAGAAGGCGGAAGCGATCACACTCTCCATTCGCTTGTGGCGCTACATAGCCCGTTGTGTGCGTCCGTAAGAGCTTGGCCGTGTGCTAGAAATGAAAATGCTCGGTCATGAGCGCAAGACGGAACCGACGATGCGGTCTTGGCCACCTGCAGATGCAGCCTTCTGTAAGCAGCGAGTCTTCGTTGTCCCCACCGCGCTGCCACCGAGCATTCTCTGATTTGTCAGTGCGCTGCACCGCACCGATCACAAGAACAGACGCCTGCTATTCCTCCCACGTGCTCCGGAAGCCCAATCCCGGCTTCGGAATTGCGGGCGTCAGGAGAGATGTTCACACCCGCGCTTGCTCATTCGTCCAGCAGCGCATCCTTGGGTGGACGACCTTGCACGTCGCTGCGTATGAGCATGATCACTCGTGTGAGCATCCGACTGCTGGTGCGCGCATTTCAATGCGCAGAAATGCACTCACCTTAGGGCGCCCTTGAGGATGTAGGTGAACCTGCCGCTCTTGAGCGGAGGAGGTGTATTCTCGTAGCCCACGCACAAGGAGCATCTGGGACACTCGAACCTGTACTGCCTCTCCACAAAAGGACTCTCGGGCGCCTTGCCTCCCGTCTGTCTCAGCTCTTCCGCATCCTCCTCCTCCTCCATCATCGCATTGGCATTCCCTGCAGCGTTCGGATCCGCCCTTCGAAGCAGCACCGCACCCGCTTGTCGAGCGTTGACTTTGAAGGTGCGACCATTGCGTAGACGTCCATTGGAATCAGTCGTGCTGTTGACATTGAGGCAGTACGAGCCGTCCAAAGGACGCGTGGGACAAGATCGCAGATCGCCATCCAGCACGAGGATAAACTCTCCGCAAAGACAGTAGTAGGATTTCAGCGAGGAGGGCAGAAAGGTGTCGTCGTCAGGCGCAGAGGCGGAAATGACGGAGCGCGAGATGATCTTGGGCATGGCTGGGAGATGTGCGCAAAGGCAAAGGGGGTGGAGAGAGGAGCCGTCGTGTGTGATTTGGTTGTCAGCGTGAGTATCTCGAGATGATGGTGGTGGGCGGTGATGATGGTGGTGGTAGTTGGAGTGTGTGCGGAAGGCAGCAATTTCGTTGGTCGTGAACAGTCACGAGTCCCGAGCGAGGCGCACGCATTCAGGCGCAGGATCGCGCGCGTGCAAAGGCTCCGCGCCATGCAGCAGCTCTGCACGGCTTTCTAGTCACGTGACTCGTGCCCCCCCCTTGCGAGCAAGGGAGCTCGCGGTCGAGTCCGAATACATAATCGTGAATCAAAGGATAGCAATTTGATGATCGACACACGGCAGCATTCAGCACAGCATTGACGATTGGTTGAAGATTGGTGGGGATGGTCATTCACCGAATCAGCGCGTGCCCGCGTCCAAGGGCGCAAGGGCGGTGTGCGGTACATGAGCAGGGCCAAGGACGAGGGGATACCAACTCGTCTTGACAGTCAGTCGAGAAGCAAGCACGACAGATCACCAAGCCAGTATGCCTGCTCCCTTTGCGCAAGGCCCGGTCAGTGTGGCCGTCGCACCGTCGTTCGACTGCCGCTGTCCTCTGTCAGAATGCATCTGCTCTTCCTGCTCGTCGTCGTCACGCTGCCTGACGAGATTCATGCCGCCCCTCAAGAATCTTCCCACCACATTACCACGCTCGATCGTCTCTTCAAAGACCAGTCTTGCATCTTTGAGCGTCGTAGGATCTATGCGGCCGTACCACACGCCCGCGCCGTTGGGAAAGTAGATGATGACGTTTCCAGAGAATTTGTGACCGCCTAGGTGGGGTCGAATGCGCGCATGAGCGACGACGAGTCTGCGAGTTGCGAGTTGCGGGGAAGGCGGCCGCGTTGGCGGTCGCGTTGGCCGCCGCACGATTCCCACTCACCGATGTGACTGCAAAAGAAGAGTCCTAGCGTGCCCGTACCATCATCATCTCGCTCTTGCTTGCCCAGCGCTGATCTCCCAGGCAGCTCATCATCTCCCTTTGCAGCCCTTCTTTTCCACGCTCGCACTTGTTCCTCCTGCTGCTGCTCCCCCAACGTCTCATCCACGTATCCCCAACCGCGATCTTCCCTCAGCCCATCCGTCGCCAGCAGCACCGTCTCCCTCATCTCCTCCTCTGCTCTCCGACCACCACCACCACCAAGTCCCACCTCATCCGCCCTCATATCCACCTTCCAACCTTTTTCCTCGGCCAGCGTCTGGAAATGTTGGCCGAGCATCTCTGCAGCCAGCGAGCACCTCACATCCCTCTTCTTGTGCGAACAGAGCAGCACCACGGCTCTAAAAGGCATCACCCATCTTTGAGATTTGATGCGCAGATCTCGCCATTCTTGTTGTTCGCGCAACGTCCAACTGGGCGTGGAGCTCAACCATCGAGTGTAGATGAGTTGCATGGTCGCTTGTGCTCTGCTCGACGGCGACGTGCTGCTGCTGCTGCTGCTGCTGCTGCTGCTGCTCGAAGCAGTGTTGTGGGTGTCTTTGAGTCGAGCGAGGGCTGAAGTGGAAGGCACTCCATCCACCAAGGTCCAATCTGGGAAACGCATAATGCTCTCCCAGCCTTGCTCTGTCGAAGTGCTGATGCTGGAACAAGCGGTGGTCACGTGTCTTTTTGGTGCGTCTTTCTGTCCCTGCTGCTCAGTCGTCGTCGTAGTCCATACGCTTGCCGGTAGCGCCTTGGATGCGCGCTGATCTCCATCATCCTGCGCTGCTCTTCTCCTCGACGCATTGCCCAATCCGAGCCGACTCTTCCAGCCCGATGACGACTTGGCGCTTTGTGCGCCGCTTGACGCTGCTGCTGCTGCTGCTGCTGCCGACGCTACACTTTCCCAAGCCTCCTCTTCCCACTTGCACCTGCTCAGCAATCCCAGCACGCCTTTGCCCTCCTCCTCCTCTGCCGCATCGTGCGTCCAATCCTTCTTGTTGGTGCTGACCAGCAAATGACTTGCAAAGGGCTTGTTGGATCCCAGCATGTCGCTCGTCTTGTCGATGCTCTGCTTCGACCACGCTTTCAGCAACTTGGGCGCAATGTCCGACTCCTCAGACTCATCTGCAGCCACGTCCTTGGCGCTGCTGCCCGAGGAGGCCGCAGCAGGATGGCAATTGGAGGCGCAGCAGCTGAGACAGTCGGAGAGCGGTATGCCCGCCGCGCGAAAGGCTTGCGCTGCTCGCTCATCCAGCTCTGGTATGCGCGCAACGCTCGACTTGAAATTGGGCACCATTTCATTCGTCATGTCGTGATCGACGACATCAAGCAGTGCGGGAAAGTTCCTCCTGAGAAAAGTGGGGAGGGGGCGCTTGGGTATGAAGCGTGTGTGTCGAGGAGAGAGGGGCGAGCAAGGTGATGGGGGTATGGCAGACAAGGTGATGGTGGTGTCTTCTGATGAAAGAGCAAGGCGGTAATGTACCACAAGTTGAAAACTGCTGAGAGCAGCGGGAGTAAGAGAATCGTGAATGTTTGTTGGTGTGACATGCGCAAGTCCGCCCGCGAGTAAGCTGACATTCGCAACAGCTAGAATGCATTGGATGCGTGCACGCACGCACGCACGCACGCACGCACGCACGCACGCCTGCCGCGCGCCATTACAAACTCCGATCAGCAAAAAGGCAACAGCGAGAGGGAGCTCGGCGATACCGTACTGCCTACGACAAAGACTCGCCGAATGCAGTTAGTTGCAGATGCCGGCGGCAAACTCACGACTGACGCGCGCGCGCGCCATGCAGCCGCAGCCGCAAATCAAGCAGCGCAGACGATGCTTATCAGATCTTGTTCGGCAAAGAAGCGGGGCGCTGGGCGTGGGGCGTGGGGCGCGGTTCGAGGCTGTGCAGCTATCGCACATGCAAAAGTTGAGTGCCGCTCGGTACGCTTCACGGTCAGGTACCGGTACAGGCGTCGGCGTTGCACGTACTGTGTGTGCATGAACAGCAGCGTCAGTCGCCAGTCACCTGACGTCCACTTTGCTCGTGACGCTGTCGAATCGCGTGCATCGCAAAACTTGGATCCATCGAGCACAGGCGCACACACACACACACACACCTGACGTATTCCGTTGTGTGATCACATTCAAGGAGCGCGAGACAGCAGTGTGAGGCCTCGGCAAGCACGACAAATCGGATTGAGGCCCAATTTCTCCAGCTCTGACTAGCATCCATCGTCATCACATGCGAGCGTCGCATCGGATTTAAAGGCGTCAATAAGAGTTTGCAAAAGTATTTTGTTG